CCACCATCAAGGCAAAACGCAACCAGACGCGTTGAGAGCATAAAACAAGAATGACAGAAAACTGAACCACTGCGCTGGGCTGGGCTGGGCTGGGCTGGGCTTGCGTTTGGGATACCCGTCAACCCGTACCGCTTCCCGCACCCGCACCGCTGCCGCGTGCGTACCGCGACTTACCTTAGTACCCGGCTGAGAGAGCGGGACGCATTTTTTGTAGTTCGATTTGGGATGCGCCTGAATCATCGTTGATGAGACACGACCTACGGACACACAGACACGTCGTCTCTTGAAAAAGGCCCATGGCCATGAGAGAGAGAGACAGAGAGAGAGAGAGCCACACTTACTAACTATCACTCGGGATGCCAGATGCCCGACCGCCTCTTCGTTTCTTTCATTCCTCAAAGGCGGTCAGTAAGGTCTGAAGCGGTCGGGACTTGTTTTGATGCAAGATGCTCAATAGCCCTGCTTAGGTCTTGGAATCCTTGGGAACACTTTGTTTTTTTGCTCGACTACCAAACGGTACACCTGCGACCGCCGACAAGCATCCGGGCAAGCGGGTCGTATCCCCCTGTTTACATTAGTTGACCGACATGGTGAAAGAGAGAACTCCAGAGACAGGGCTCTGGTCGTGGTCGCCGGCGGCAGCAGATCGAAAAAGGAGACGACAAGACGATCTGAAATGATACGAAGCATGGCCATGACCAGCCATGCCGCTATGCGCAACACAGACCATTGTGTACTATTCCGTACGGAGTATTGGATTTGGGCATAATCAACAAGTGGAATGAGAAAGGCGACAACCGACCCACGGCTCCATCGCGGGCCACGGAAGCGCTCCCGCGATCTTCGCCAAACGAGATGATGTCGACGTTGTTGTCTCGACTCTCGATGCACTTGGTCAGTACGGCTAGGTAGTCAGTCACAAGTGTGCCCCTCGGTCCTCGAGCCCCTCCCCCTCCTTTCTCTCATGAGTCTCATCCCTTTTTCGTTCGCCCGCCCCCCTTTCGCTTTTTTTTTTTTCTTTTCTTATTTTTTTCCGCTTCCCATTCTGACTCAACTGTTTGCTTTCTTTTCCCTTGGCCTTGTCGCGTACGGAAATTGAGGTTGCCTCCCGCTCTCTGATACGGATGAGAAAATTTTTCCAACTCTGCTATGACTCTCTTCCACATCCCTGGCACAATCAGGGACCTGGCAATGAATCAGGTCCTCGATATCATGGCCCTCTGAGTCCCTGTTGCGCTGAGAAAGACATGCCCTGCAGGTACTTCGTACCTTGCTATCGGAGGACAACTTGAATGGAGGGACAGAGACTGAGGCTGGTGCCAGTGCTACCTGCTGCCACCTTCCAGGCGAGTTTGGAAGTTCAAGTGCGGCGCAGGCTGGTCCCATTTCCCTCAAGCTGACACGCTTTGTTGTCCCTCGAACTTGACAAGTTTCCACCTCTCGTGTTGTAAATGGTGCCAACTCCCAAGTCATTTCATCATGTTGCTACACGTCAAATAAACCCCTTCCCCTGTTCTCCTCCAGCCTACGGTCCTGAACGGTCCATGCTATGTAGTGTAGAACCTTTGGGGCCCTGATTGGGGGGGGGGGGGGGTTCATGGATGTACCACATTGTTCCTCAAATCCCGTTACCTGTCCAAGCGAGTTACACAATTTTCTACACGCCTTCTATGACTGGGTCTCATGCTTCCATTGCAAATGTCCCGTCATTCTGGATCTATTCCTTACTGACCTGTCCATGTCGCCAACCCGCCGCCCGAAGTCTAGGGACAATCGATCAACGCTCCACTGCGATTATCATTTGCATGTCACGATATGTCAAACATGGTATCCGTACGGATCATGGATATCCTCACAACTCTCAGAGAATCCGCTCTGGCCCTATCGGCCTCGTTGATTTTTCGGCTTTCTCATTCGCATCCCTGACGCCACGAATCTGCCCTCGCCCTCCGGTCCCTCCCCCTCCAGAGACGTGCAACTTGAACTTCGAGTCTCGACCGCCGCGCCCCTCCCCCTCTCTGAAGTCTGAACCATGGATCATGACCCAGAATTCGCTATCACGCATCATGCTGCGCTACGGGTGCTCTCATGCTAGACCTTGCAAGGCCTATCGCTCGCTCGCTTACACTTACAGTTCACCGTCCTAGGCGTCACCGCCCTCAAGCAACCCCCCCCCCCCCCGTCGATGTCGTGAACTGGCGCTTCCGGGGCCCTCGAACGGCAGGGACAAAAGCGCAAAATCAACCGGGTTCCTATCGAGCATGTACAAAACCCTGGACTCTTGAGGGGCATCACATCGCTTTTCAAGCACCAACGATGCGGTGAGTCCTTGTAGGCGCGTCTCTCACCTTGTCGGTCTCGAACGACGAAATGTCGGAGTGGGTACACGAAATGGCGGACAGAAACTGAATTTCAAGGGTCAGAGATCCGAAAGGGCAAGTCCTGACATATCGGTGGAGAGCAAACTAACAACTCTTGCGCTTCGACTGCTGGGTCGCAGCATGAAAGTGGACATCCCCTCTTCTATTGTCTTTTACGCTCACGACACCCGCTTCAAATTGACGATTTCGCCTCTGATGCCGCAAGGCTTCGCGAAGTCGGCGCAGGTGCATGCCAGATAAGCCTTGAGAGACGTGCTGCTGGCAAAAGAGACAAATCTAGAAGCAATGGGCCTCACCGACAAAGCCATTTTTTCCCAACGCATTGACGTGTCTACCACGGATATGCGCTTTGGGAATCTAGGAACTCGATACCTTGAGGGAGTACTGCACACCGTACTTACCTTACCTTACTCAAAATCGCGGGCATACAACTTCAAGCTCAGAGTTCTCCTCCATGATCCAGCTCCGTCTCCGGCCGCCACGCGACGGGGCTAACATGCACCCCAGTCCGGCACTCCATTTACCACCTGCAATAGTCCCTCTCTTGTGATATATGGGCCCTTCGAATCCAACTTAACCCAAGGGCAAGCCATGCCCCCGCCATCTACCTGGCAGGTTGGCAATTTATTAACCCTACGAGCGGACGCCGGAAGAGGATCCAGAATCAGAAGTGGTCCAGGCCAACGAAAGGAAGCCGGGAGGAGAAGATGTCGCCAGGAGCCCAGGACCCAGTCCAACCCGGGCTTTCGGTGCCCTTCATTTGAAGCTTCGGCATAGGGCAAGGCCTGCCAAGCCAGAGCAAAATACATGACCGGAACGGCCGAGTTGGGAACCTGTCGTTGATTTACCCCTCCATTGACGTTGCAACGATAAGCCGTATGCTATCGGCCTACGGAGTACAGGCTTTCATCTGATGTTGGTAAGGCGTTGCCCGTTGTAGCGAACCGTCAACGATGATGGCCATGGAGTAGACGCTCGTAGGGAATTTCCGGCGCACGTCTCTCATGCCACATAAAGTAGGTACCTTGCAGTCTCTCTTTTATCGTCCCTTGCCCCCTGACCAAGGACGAGGATATGGCAAAGACGATATTGGTTCCAAAAAAATCTGTCCGTCTGGAGGGGTAGAAAGTTCAGAACGAGAAAAAAAAAAAAGAGAGAGACAGAAAGTTCAGAAACCCTTCAGGATAGCGGGGCACTAGGAACAGCTAAAATGGAGCGCGCCTCCACGCCTGGGCACGGAGGCAGTCAGAGCCCACCTCGCGCCGCGGCACGGGTTCCGGCCAGCCGGTTCCCCGTTGGCAGTGCGGCGTCAGGCGTGCCTGTTTGCGCTCCGCGTTTGTGCCAGGATGCGTTGCTGGAACGGTCGCGGTGGAGGAGGGAGGTGTGGTGTGGTGGGCCTGTCTAATTAAGAGCATGCTCAAGGGTTGCCTTCAGAACTTCCGGGCGGGACTGCCCTTACCTAGTTGTGTATTACTACTACTACGTAGTTGTGTCAGTACTTGCACAGTAGGTACTACTGAAGGCCTGAGGTGGCTTCTTTCCGGCATCCGCCGTTCCCGGGTAACCTCTTTGGGCTTCTTTTCTAGTGTATCCGTAGTGTGGTTTCTGAAAGACTGTGACTCCGTGAGGCGATTGAAAAAAGTAAGGCGAGCAAACACAGCGGTCTCGGTGCTGATCCCTGGAAGCTGCAAGTGTGGCGGGCCAGGAGAAAAGAGAACATGTCGTTGCGCGGAGGGGAATGCTGGCTAGGCAGGCTGGCCAGCCAGCCAGCACCTTCTTAATGGTAGGTACTCGTTGTGACTTTGTACTTTGTATCGATCTTACCATGTGGTTCGAATCGCAACAATGTCACCAATGCACCATTGACAGAGAACGAACATCTCGCAGATCAACAAGACTTGTGGTGGCGGGACGCTGAAGGCGACGGGCAGCTAAACCCCTGACGATCATTGAGGTGGATTTTCCTGCTAGGGCGTTGCCGTCGGGCGCCTTGATCGCGGCACGCACTTCTGCATAGTCACAGTCATACATACGTAGGTACTCACGCAGAGTCGGAGGTAGACTGATGTGAGGTGGGATCAGCGTGTCAGTGTCATCGCCGGCCGCCCCAAGGCCCCGGAACATGAACGAATCACGACCTGAAACCGCACCTCTCTGATTCGCAATACTTTTGCGGAAGGAAGAAAAAAAAAAAGCACTACGGATAGAAAATGGTAGGTTGCCTCTTTCGCTAGTAGTGGCGCGCTGTGTCTGTGCTGGACACCCCCGTTACCTACCGTATGTCTCGTTCCGAGCCCATCGTCGCAATGGAATCTCATGAGAACATCTGATATCGTCCCGATCTGCAACACAGGAGGGGTTCTCTGAGAAAAGGATTGCGACCCCTTTTTTCCCCTTCTTTTCTTTACAACAAAGCGTCAGTGCCCCTCACGGAACGCCCCGCACCGTCACCCATCCACGCGTTCGTGGATCAAGCGCTCGTTCGCTCGACTTCATAGGTAGCGATACCCTCGGCAGCGATTCTGTAACCTTTCTCAGACAAGACACACCACGAGGGTGTGAGATGGCGCCATCCCAACTGTCGACGATTTCGACAGTGGAATGAAAACCCGCCTGCCTCTAACCTGGGTGTAAGGCAACGTACCGATCCTCATTCACTACCTTGTGACAACGGAGCAACAATATCTAACAGAAGCATAGTGGTCTTGCCCAACCGAATGAACGCATGGCGTTGATGCTACCGAATCTCTCGCCTTTGTCATGAAGGAAGATGGTCAGGCGTAGAAGTGTCCCAGGCTTCGGCGACTGCCTATCATCGGCGCATGGTGTGTCGTGGCCGAATCGACAGGCAAACCGGCTGATTCTCGCGGACACGGCGCGGCGCATCAAGAAGGCCAGAGGGGATCACGCTCACGGCGCCGTTGTCGTGAGCGACTGCATTCCGGCGGCGAAGCTTGGGTCAAATGCGATGTCTATGCCCCTCCTCTCAATACCCGGTGGCATTAGCCGGGCCGTCGTGACCGGACAAGGCATGGGCGAGAGTACGAATGATGGTAGACCGCTTTATACTTTGCCGGAGTGCAGCGGCATCGTCTTACACCCGGTCGGAAACGGATAGTCGACGAGCCGTCGGCAGGCGTGGTGGGATACATCAAGGCGGTGGTGAACGCAGGGCCGCCTTCTTCGTCTTCAGACGAAGAACAAGTGCGGGCAAAATTGGAGTTGCGGCCAGGAAGTCGGGTTGGGATGGGATGGGATACGTCGAGACGATGTGCCTGAACCTGACCTGTTCCTGGCGCATTCTTGCGCTCGACTCCCAGGGCGGCAGGGTGGCCAGCAAGGACGAAGACTTGCGGATGCCTTTTACTATCTTTGGGTGAGTTTAGGTGAGTATCACGGCGTAGACAACATTCCCATTTCGTTACCTTGTGGCAGGAAGTGACGGCGTTGGCATCATATCATCCAGCCCTCCACGCCTCTTTGAACGTAGCACAGTGCGGAAACGGGCAAGGACCCGGATAAGGAGGATTCATGGTGATCTGTCGTCCTGGAAACGTCGCGCGTCAACGGAGCACAGTGCGGCGGGAAAGGGTGGTAGTGAAGATCCGTCCGTGGATGGTTCAAATGGAAAACGAGGTGAAATTTGAACAGTCGGCGGGGTCCACCTGCCTTTGGATGAGGTGGGTTAAGGTACTCCGTACCCTACCTTACCCGGTAGTCCTGCACTTCCTTCCTTCTTGGTCGGTCAAGCTCGTGCCCGGGCTCCACACCGGTGTATGGTGGCCCCTGCACTTCCTCTCTCCTGCCAACCGCACATTGTCCTTGATTCCTTCCTGAGGCCCATTTCCTGGCTGCTGTTCCGTCCGGCGTTCTCTCTCCTTTCTCATATAAGGAAGGCAGGTAATAGGTTACTTAAAGCTGCAAGGTAAAGTGTTTTGGGCTGCCTCGTGGTAAATGATGGATAAGGTATCGTTGTTTGCGTTCTGAGTGTCAGCGTTCCGTCCCGTCTGTCTTGTGAAATATGTGTCTCGTTGTTCCGACTGACGGGGGATTCTCAGGTTCGAGGGCAAAGCCGCAAACTTGCAGACGGATGAAGGTATGATAGCTATACTTTGTTCGGAGTAATTACAGGGGACTCAATCTGTCCGTACCTTGGGTCAAGGCTCAAGCAATTGATTGTCATTGTCAGGGACCCAAGCCAAGTCAGACTCGGCCTTGCTCGTTCAAGACATGATTTTGGATACCTAGATAGACAGATGTTCAATACCTTAGCCGGAGGGGGCCGCCTGCAGCCCATTCACGGCTCAGATTCAGGCTGGAAATTGACCAAAGTGCCCTCCTTGCCTATTTGATCACTGTCGCACGCTACGAATACCTCGTACTTTCCAATACAGACAAATCTCCTGCTGTGCCTCAACCCATACCTACTGTCCCAGTCCTTCACTTCCTCACGTTGTGTTTCCTCCCAGGGGAGGGGGATGGACTGCTGAGGATTTGGCCAATGGAGGAGGGAGAAGAGCGCTCAAAGACCCGCTCCAACGAGACGGGCAAGCAGAATCCTGGAAAAAAGCACGAGGGAAGGAGACAAGACGGGACGGGAGGAACCCAGACAGCTTACCTAATTTGCAACTTTAGCGTACCTACACAGGACCAACCACAGTAGTAGTAAGGGACCACCAGTTGCACCAGGCCTGAGGGAGGAGGTTCCCATTCCGTCCCCCCGTGCCTCGTGCGGCGTGTGCCTCCTCCCCTTATTGCAATCCTTCAGTCCCGTCCCGGCCATTGACCACCCACAGACTGTTAAGCTTCCGCCATCGAGGTACCGCCGGCATCCTTCGCCCATCCTCTAAAGTGACCTCTTCGCGCCTTTGTGATCGCCAATTCGTCCAGCGTCTAGAAGTATACTCCCTACATCCACCTATCGCGCCCAAGTAGCTACTCTACTGTGGCCCCCCCGTGCTACCATTGTTCCCAGTCCATCCCCTCGACTCTGCAGCCCGCCCACACGGCCCATAACCATTGACAACCACCACGAAAACGACGACGAGGACGAAGACGATAGGCACCTATTCACCATACCTTGTTCAAAGTTGTCTTGATATACATTGGATACCCCTCCAACGGTCACCGTGACGGTTGCAAAAGATTCGATACTGGTCGCCCACCCGCTAGAGGCCGACCCTGAAAAGGGACAAAGCGAGAGGAGAGGCATTTACAGAGACGGTCTGATACACCCGCCGAGAGATCCCCTAGGCGACATTGGTCCTTCGGGGGCCTTCCCTCATCAGGCGATCCTCCTCTCCATGCCCCCTCTCCCCTCCCGAGTCCCCCCTCCCCTCCCGACTGTCCAGCAGCATCAGCGCACACGACGACGCGAGAAAAATATCCGGCGAATCGTCGCTCGCATCCCACACATCTCTACCCGCCCACTGCTTTCTCTCATCTCATCCCACCAGTGAGCTCTGCGAGTCGCGACCGCTCCCTCGATTTTCCAATTCTTCAACGCGACAACCGACCCAGTAGCCAACTGTTCACTGTCAGTCAGCGCCTGCGCCAGAGAACCACCGACCTCGTCGACACACGGCTGCGCCTGTTGCCAGACGAGACGAACGTCGCCCCCCGCAACTTTACCCCCCGGCTCCAAACCTGCGACTCCTGGATTGTGGGTTTCTGCAACTCAACAACTCGTCGCTTCTCTCCCATCTGACTACGCCTTCTTCTGCTTTCTTCTTCACGACTTTTTACGATTGACGATTCAACCCATCTCCTCGCCGACCCTCCCCGCCGATACAGGTCCAAGCAACAACAGCGTAGACGTGCCCGGATCATGACTTGACCCTTTTCCCCTCCTTGGGTTATCAGCGCGACCGCCTCATCATGCTGATGACACAGACCGCAGTGCCGGCACTATTCCAGGGTCAGAACAACAACTACAATTCCCGCAAAAAGCCTTCGCGCGAAAACCTCAATCACGACGCTACCAACTACTACCCTTCCCAACCGGCGTTGGACCCTTCCAGCGTCGGCCAAGCCTTCTCACCCTATTCACAGGCCATTACTTCCTCTTCGTCCATAATGAACGGTATTGCGGGCACTGCCCCGCCCGGTACCATGTACGTCCGCGCTCTGTACGATTACGAGGCCGACGACCGCACGAGTCTCAGTTTCCACGAAGGAGACGTCATTCAGGTTATAACACAGCTGGAAAGCGGATGGTGGGACGGCGTTATCAACGGTGTGCGCGGTTGGTTCCCGAGTAACTACTGTCAAATCGTTACGAGTCCCGACGAAATTCCCGAGCATGACCAGAATGGCGATCTTGATCATGTCGACGATGAGGAGGACAGTCAGGAGGTCTACGACGAGCAGCTGGAAGAAGATGACGAGTCGGAACTGGACGACGCCAGCGGCCTCCCTCTCGAGGGTACGGATCTCGGTGACAAATCACGGGCCGACTTTTGGATCCCGCAAGCAACCCCAGATGGGCGCCTATTCTACTACAATATGATGACGGGCGATCGGAGCATGGAATTGCCTTTGGAGTCTCCAGTATCTACCAATGAGACAGGGCCCCGTAACCGGATAAACGTCAATGTCCCTGAGAAGACACGGCCACCCCCCGAGATGATGGCTAGGGGCCTGACGCAAGATGAGGACGAAGACTCCGAAGCAAACTCCGCATCCGAGCTGGAGGGAGAGTCTTTGATGCTCGCATCTCGTGGATCTTTGGTAAGAGCTCGTGCCGCAAAGCTCGCACCGCCGTGGGTTGCTTTTGCTGACCAGTGTATGTGCATGGTAGCCTCGTAATCGTCGGTCTCGTAGCGAAATGCTCTCACCCTCCACTTCGATGGACTCCATGAACGGTACCGCACCTGTTACCCGGCAGAAGGACGGCGCATACCTGAACCCGAACTTGGCACCCAACGCAATCCCAATGATTGCATCAGCGACCTCGTTCACCAGCACTTCTTACAATACGCCGCCAACCAGCACCGTGCCTCGTTCCTTTTTCGACGACGGCTCAGCGCCGCCGCTGACCTGGACTCGCCTGGTTTCCAACATGCGCCGAGCCGTTGACCGTTATCGCGATGCCATTACGAGTGGCAACCGTTCCGAATATGTTGCGCGCGCAGAAGATATCTCAGACCACCTGAGACTACTTCTAGCTGCTGGATCTGGCACGACCGATAACCACTCTGGCCAGCCTTCCATTATTTCCACGAACAAGGCTCTTTATCCCCATTTCAGAGACATGATGTCAAAATTCTCGAAGCTCGTAATCTCATCTCACATTGCTGCTGCTGACTGGCCCAATGCCGAATCTGTACAGAAGTGTCTCCAAGAAGCCGATGGAGTGCTACTCGGCGTTTTCAGTTATGTCGAAATTGCCCGTCAGCAACGTGGAGAGGAGATCCCGCGCCTGTTCCCCGGATTTGTCATCGGAAGTTCTACTGGCGGCAGCTGGCAGAACAACGGACTGGGCACCCGCGATCCTATCACGGCGAATTTCCTGGAAGATGAAGAGGGTGTGGTCGAGCCCACGGCAATTCTAGACGGCAAGCAGCTCGAGAGGCTAGACGAGCTCAAGCGCATGCTTGTTTTCAGCATAAGAGAACTGGACAAGAATTTGGTTGTGGCGGACAAGATCACTTCACCTTTCAAGCACGAAGTCATCGGAAACAACGTTTGTTTGGCGGGAGGCAAGGTCTTGGAGACGTTCAAGCCATGGATTGCACTCATCGAGTCTATCGACCTTTCAACCCTGGGCAACAGTTTCCAAACGCCCCAGTTGGCAGACTTCGCCGCCAACAAGCAGAGCCTATACGACAACATGTCAGACCTGCTGCTAGGTTGCCAGGCCGTGGCCGGGCCCCTGGCCGACGAATGGGCCGAGGTTCGAGGCGAGGCTCTCGAGAACCGACTAGACTATGTCCGACAATGTGCCAAGGCCCTCGAGACGAATTCCTCGCACATCGGCTTTTCTTTGCAGCTGTTGTCTGAACAAGTGCAAATTAACATGCAGCAACAAGTCGACTCGAAACAGAGGGAAGACGTGATGCAGCGTGAACAACTCCGCCGGGGAGAGACCACTCCGTACGACAGACCCCATCAGCGCACGGAATCGCGAACGACTCCCGCAGCATCGCGACCCCCAATGATCACTTCACAATCCTTCACCGAGGGCGAGAGCACTGGCAACTTCCGAGGAGGCGACTACTCAAAGGTTAAGAAAATTTTGGGTGACGACCCCAACCCTCAGAGCAACATGCCTCCTGTCGATGACACGCCGGAGTTCCTCAAGCTAGACCATGAGCCAGATCTTGCCTGGGACAACAAGCTGACACCGCCCATCGTTAAGGGTGGTACTTTGGAGGCACTCGTGGAGCAACTGACACGACATGATAAGCTTGACTCGAACTTCAACAACACGTTCCTGCTTACATACAGGTCCTTCACGACAGCTCAAGATCTTTTCAAACTGATCGTGAATCGCTTCGGCATCCAACCACCAGAGGGTCTCTCTCAATCGGACTTCGAGGCCTGGCGAGACAGGAAACAGAAACTCATTCGCTTCCGAGTCGTCAACATTCTGAAGAGTTGGTTCGATAACTTCTGGATGGAAGAGCACAATGAGGAATCAAAGCAGCTCATTCGAGATGTTTACACCTTTGCTAGGGATACCGTCAAGTCTACAGAGACACCAGGCTCTGCACCACTCATGGCGGTCCTGGATCAACGGCTCAGTGGTCAACAAGCTGGAGCTCGTCGGATGGTACAGACGCTCAACCAAAACACGCCATCACCCATTATGCCTAAGAACATGAAGAAGCTCAAGTTCTTGGATATCGATGTCACAGAGTTTGCTCGCCAGCTCACCATAATTGAGTCAAGGCTCTATGGAAAGATTAAGCCTACAGAGTGTCTCAACAAGACATGGCAAAAGAAGGTTGGCGAGGGAGAGCCAGAACCGGCTCCCAACGTCAAGGCTCTCATTCTGCACTCCAACCAAATGACCAATTGGGTGGCGGAGATGATTTTGGCGCAGATGGATGTGAAGAAGCGTGTGATTGTGATCAAGCACTTTGTTTCTGTCGCAGATGTGAGTGGTAGAATCTACTACCATGAAATGACACTGAAGCTAACAGTCCATAGAAATGCCGTAGTCTCAACAACTTTTCCACA